TGGTCAGCTGGGGAAGTGCCTATCGACTAGTCAGTTAACCGTATTTTAACTTCCTTAGTGTAGACTGGTGGTTACAGCACCCACTGTAAACTCCTGTGTCCTCTCTGCCCACCCGCTGACCCTTTATCCCCGGTGAAACAGTGATGGGGGAGCCGGCATCGGCATGTCTCCTAGCGCCCTCCTCCCGCAGCAGGGGGCACACTTGAGCTTTGATTTCAAAGGGGGTGGGGCTGACGATGGGCCCTTCTCCGGGGGAGGCTGTCAGCTCGGGCACACGCTAGCCCTCGCAGGAAATTGCCCAGGGTCAGTGATCTGCTTAATTTTATGTCCGGCTTGGCAACGTACCACGGCTACACTGACCATACATCCCGATCTTTCCAGGACAGTCCCGAATTTAAATGCTCTGTCCCAGTGCCCCATCAAGCAGTGAAACATCCCAGAAAGCCCCTCCGGACATTCCACTGCTCGTTGGGGACACTGGCTTGCAGGAAGAAGCAAGAAATGGGGACGTGCCATTGCTACTCGCATGGCGCAGCAGCCCTCTTAAATCCCAATATTCCAATGCGCCAGAGTCCATGCTATGGTTAAACAAATGCCTCCTTACGTTATTTAGGAACATTATTTCACTTACTATGTTATGTCTGTTTTTTAAGTTTCTGTTCTGATTGTGCTATTGCCTAACAAGGAATAAGAGAAAATTACAGCTGCTGGTTACACATCTCTTATGCAGATTTAGGACTACATTATTCCCTTTAAAAACTTAAAAAACCAACAAATAGACTAGTAGCACCTTAAAGACTAACAAAACATGTAGATGATGTTGTGAGCTTTTGTGTGTGCAACCCACGTCTTCAAATGACAGGAGTATTAGAAGTCCAGATCCAAGAATAAATAAGGGAAGGGGAGGGGGAGAGAAAAAAAGAGAAAAAAGGAGGGGGAAAGGAGGAAAAAAAATAAAAAGAGAGAGATGGTGAGCAGATGGTTCAAATAGTTACAACAGGCTGAGGGAGATAGGGAGGAGGAGAACCAGCCGACAGGAAGCAGGGCTGGCCAGGAGGGGGTCGGGAGGAGCAGTGCTGGTCGGGAGGAGTCGGGGGGAGTGGAACTGGCCGGGGTGAGAGAGAATCGGCCAGCTGGGAGCAGGACTGACCCGGGCACACGCAGATCCCAGGGCGCTGCCCATCCCACGCACGGTCCTGGCAAAGCACAAATGAGTCTGGCTACAGCTCCACAAGGCACTTGACCAGCGCTCAGGAGCACGGACAGGGCTTCTCCTCCTCCCCAAGGCATCATTCCTACGTCAGACACAACCAAAGGCTCCCTACGCCAATTGCACCCCTCCCAGCCACTCTCCCGGCCCCGCCAGCCTTCCCTCTGGTGCCCAGCCGGAAAACCAGGAAATACCAGACATTGCACGTGTCCAATATTTCCTGAATTTTTTTACACGACAGAGGGCCCAAAAATCAGACTGTCCAGTTGAATACCAGACACCTAACAACTCTAGTCCTGGGCCGGCAGCACCGCCTCCTCCTGAAAGGAGGTGTGGGCATGAGGAAGGCAGGGGATGGAGCAAGTCGTGTGTGAGGGCACAGAGGGGCAGGAGGGGAACGGGGGCAGAGGGTGGTGAGGGGGTGGGCACCAGGAAGAAAGGGAAAAAGGAGGGCAGGGGCAGTGAGGGAAGGGGGAGGCACCTGGAAGGGGTAGTCCTGGGCCGGCAGCACCGCCTCCTCCTGAAAGGAGGTGTGGGCATGAGGAAGGCAGGGGATGGAGCAAGTCGTGTGTGAGGGCACAGAGGGGCAGGAGGGGAACGGGGGCAGAGGGTGGTGAGGGGGTGGGCACCAGGAAGAAAGGGAAAAAGGAGGGCAGGGGCAGTGAGGGAAGGGGGAGGCACCTGGAAGGGGCAGCTACGGATGATCAGAGTGGGGCTAGAGGAGGGGTGGGCGCAGGTTGAAGAGAAGGGCTGGTGCAGGGGTCAAGGAGGATGGGAAGGGGGACAGGAGGGCTGAGGACAATGAGAAAGGCGAGAGCCAGGACAGCAGAGGAGGGTGAGGGGTGGGGAGGAGACATGGCAGCAGAGGGGAAAGGGAGAGGTTTCTAAGATATTTATTAATAACTTGGATGACAGTGGTACATCCGAACAAGTGCAAGGCGCGTGGCTAACGGGAGCTGGAGGTATGGCTAACAGAGGTCAGGGGGCGTGGCTAACAGGGTCAGGAGGCATGTCTTACAGGGGTCGGGGGCGTGGCTAACGGGGGCCGGAGGCATGGCTAACAGAGGTCAGGGGGCGTGGCTAACAGGGTCAGGAGGCATGTCTTACAGGGGTCGGGGGCGTGGCTAACGGGGGCCGGAGGCATGGCTAACAGAGGTCAGGGGGCGTGGCTAACAGGGTCAGGAGGCATGTCTTACAGGGGTCGGGGGCGTGGCTAACGGGGGCCGGAGGCATGGCTAACAGAGGTCAGGGGGCGTGGCTAACAGGGTCAGGAGGCATGTCTTACAGGGGTCGGGGGCGTGGCTAACGGGGGCCGGAGGCATGGCTAACAGAGGTCAGGGGGCGTGGCTAACAGGGTCAGGAGGCATGTCTTACAGGGGTCGGGGGCGTGGCTAACGGGGGCCGGAGGCATGGCTAACAGAGGTCAGGGGGCGTGGCTAACAGGGTCAGGAGGCATGTCTTACAGGGGTCGGGGGCGTGGCTAACGGGGGCCGGAGGCATGGCTAACAGAGGTCAGGGGGCGTGGCTAACAGGGTCAGGAGGCATGTCTAACAGGGGTCGGGGGCATGGCTAACGGGGGCTGGAGGCATATCTAACAGGGGTCAGGGGCGTGGCTAACGGGGGCCGGAGGCATGGCTAACGGGGGCTGGAGGCATATCTAACAGGGGTCAGGGGCGTGGCTAACGGGGGCCGGAGGCATGGCTAACGGGGGCTGGAGGCATATCTAACAGGGGTCAGGGGCGTGGCTAACGGGGGCCGGAGGCATGGCTAACGGGGGCTGGAGGCATATCTAACAGGGGTCAGGGGCGTGGCTAACGGGGGCCGGAGGCATGGCTAACGGGGGCTGGAGGCATATCTAACAGGGGTCAGGGGCGTGGCTAACGGGGGCCGGAGGCATGGCTAACGGGGGCTGGAGGCATATCTAACAGGGGTCAGGGGCGTGGCTAACGGGGGCCGGAGGCATGGCTAACGGGGGCTGGAGGCATATCTAACAGGGGTCAGGGGCGTGGCTAACGGGGGCCGGAGGCATGGCTAACGGGGGCTGGAGGCATATCTAACAGGGGTCAGGGGCGTGGCTAACGGGGGCCGGAGGCATGGCTAACGGGGGCTGGAGGCATATCTAACAGGGGTCAGGGGCGTGGCTAACGGGGGCCGGAGGCATGGCTAACGGGGGCTGGAGGCATATCTAACAGGGGTCAGGGGCGTGGCTAACGGGGGCCGGAGGCATGGCTAACGGGGGCTGGAGGCATATCTAACAGGGGTCAGGGGCGTGGCTAACGGGGGCCGGAGGCATGGCTAACGGGGGCTGGAGGCATATCTAACAGGGGTCAGGGGCGTGGCTAACGGGGGCCGGAGGCATGGCTAACGGGGGCTGGAGGCATATCTAACAGGGGTCAGGGGCGTGGCTAACGGGGGCCGGAGGCATGGCTAACAGGGGGCGGGGGCGTGGCTAACATGTCCCCAATAGTGAGTCAGAAAATATGCTCCCCATACATATGGCAGGGGAACGCAGCACCCTGCGTAGGCCCCTTCATGCTTCTGCATGCGAAACTAAACACATTGATATAAACCTCGCTCGTAGGCAGCCGAAGCCGAGCTGAGGAGTGGGTGGCTCTGCCCCTTTTCTGTTAGCTCTGATCCACTCCCCACCTGGGCTGGCTGCTGAGGGGGGCACTTGATCCCCATGGTGACACCCTCTTCCCCCTCCAGCATGTAGCTTCTGCTCTAAATAATACTTTGTCCTGTCATGACCCTATGAGGTCCCTTCTAGTCCCAGAATCCATGAACCTAGAGCGAGGAAGATAACGGCTCTCAGCTCCTTGGCCACTTTGAAATGCCAGGGGAATAAAAGGGTTTGGGGCTGAACTGTGAACGGAAATTTTAACAACTTTCAGCTAATCAACCAGTGGCAGTTTTGTTTTGTTTTGGGACAAAGGAAACGTTTCCATTTTTTATCATTTCGAACACAAAGAAAGCAGAGACAATTCTGGAACAAAAAGTTGCTCAAAAAAAACCAACTCCTGACACTTTTCACCCAGAGAATCTCTACATGAAACACGTCTGGTTTTCCCTGTAAGGAGGGTCTCTCCCTCAAATGCAGAATTTGTCAAAACCAACTGAAATTCACAAACCGTGTGTCTCCCAAACCTGCAGTTTTTGCCCCTCAAAATTGTTTTGGCCCAAGGCTTTGCCCAGCTCTAACCAAAAGCCCTGGCACTGGCTTTGGCGGGGGTGGTATTCAGGGCTGTGGAACGGCAAACAGGGAGTATCGACAGGCAGGACCTCTCTGGTCCGGCGCCCTCAGGACCTGACCAGTTCCAAACGAGGGGATTTGCCGGACCAGGGGAGGGCCCTCCCCTAAGCCCCATCACACTCGGGCCCGCTGCCAGACCCCCCTGTTCCTGGGCTCTGTGGTCCAGGGACATCCATGGTGCTGCCGGACCAGACAGTCCTGGCTTAGGACTTTTCTATGAGCCCTTCAGAGCAACCGTTTGAAATCATTCGTGCCTTCCACTCGCAGACACAAGGAAGCAGCTAAAAGGACACCTGGGATCCGTGTCACCAACCCAACACTCGGGCCCGCTGCCAGACCCCCCTGTTCCTGGGCTCTGTGGTCCAGGGACATCCATGGTGCTGCCGGACCAGACAGTCCTGGCTTAGGACTTTTCTATGAGCCCTTCAGAGCAACCGTTTGAAATCATTCGTGCCTTCCACTCGCAGACACAAGGAAGCAGCTAAAAGGACACCTGGGATCCGTGTCACCAACCCAAACGCAGCAGAAACCTCTTACCTTCCATCTCTGAGAGCTTCCCTGTCTGGGACATCTGAAGAAGCGGCTGTGCCCGCGAACGCTCAAGACACCGTCTACATGGTGTGTTAGTCTATAGAGTGCTAGCAGAGCATTTGTGGGTGTGTACGTTTACCCTGGTCAGACGAGCTCGGCTCCCCCTGAAACTAACTAACAAAGCACAGGAGAGTTAGGAGAGTTTCGGACATGTTGTCTCTTTCTCTTCCTGCCTGCGGGGAAACCGAAAGCACCAGGCAGGCTGTGCAAACAATCATAGACTCATACAATCCCAGGGTGGGCACAGACCTCAGGAGGCATCAAATCCAGCCCCCTGCCCAAAGCGGGACCAACCCCAACTCAATCATGCTAGCCAGGGCTTTGTCCAGCTGGGACTGAAACACCCCTAGGGATGGAGATTCCACCCTCTTCCTGGGGAACCCAGCCCAGCGCGTCCCACCCCCCCCCAGGAAAATAGTTTGTCCTAATCTCCAACCTAGACCTCCCCACTGTAACTTGAGCCCACTGCTCCTTGTTCTGCCACCTGCCCCCACTGAGAACAGCCTCTCTCCATCCTCTTTGGAACCCCCCTGCAGGGAGTTGCAGGCTGCTCTCAAATCCCCCCTCGCTCTTCGCTTCTGCAGACTGAACAAACCCAGATCCCTCAGCCTCTTTGTCCCTTTGCAACAGTAGATAGCAAAGTCCCAGTGCATGTTCTGTGAGCGCTTTTACATTGATGTACGTGACTTAGATCAGTGTGTGTGAGTCCCGCAGTCACAGGTGACTCGTGGTAACATTTTGGTGGGGGACCTGAGTGCTAATTGCTACACTGAGAGCCCCCACATGTCTCCTCCTAGCCCCTCTGGGTGCCCCTGCCTGCACCCCCCTGCATTGTTCTCCTTGCTGCTACCAGCAGAGGGGACTGGAATCCCTTGTTTTGTTGAAATAAAAATAAGTATAGACCATGGTTAATCAAATAGAACAGGCTTCTGGGAAAATTTCAGATACTTTGTCAGTTTGAAATTTTGCATAAATATGCAATTATTCATGCAGTTGCAAAAACTCGACATTTATTGATGTAAAATTAATATACATTTTGGGATTCTATTTGGAAATAAATAAATACATAACAAAATATTAACAAAATTAATTAAACATTAAAAAAACAAAGCCTTATCAGCAAGATGGTGGACAGGTAGAGGGAGTGCATCTCCTGTCTCAATTAACACATTCCAATAGCACATCTGTCTGGCCTGGCACATGGGGGTGATAGAAAGTTCACTCTGGTCTACGTGCTAAAGAGAAAAGCTGAAATGGTTTCTGTTATACAAGATGGCTTCTAGATAAATATGAAATGGTTTCCACAGTGGGAATAAATGGTAAGTTTTCATAATGGAGAGATCTATCCCCCAAAGGTTTGTACAGACAGGCTACTGGGCTAGATGGACCTTTGGTCTGACCCGGTACGGCCATTCTTACGTTCTTATGTTCTTGTGTTCTCTAGTGAACTAAGGGAAAAACAAAAAGTGAATCTCCTGGAAAGGCAAATTACAGGAGCCTGCCCGGGGCCACAAGTGATGGGTGCCCGCCTGGTTTAGTGCGGAGATCGTGGACCTCATCCAGGTTTGGGGGGAAGCCTCCAATGTCCGCGACCTCCGCACTAGACACAGAGAAGTGGCCGGCTCGGGCA